TGGACTCAAGTGTGGCAGCGGTAGTGAGGTTGGCCCAGGATCGGACATTGTTTCATTCTGCTGTGCATGGGGTCACTATGAGTCGGTTCCGACTCAATGGCACCTGACAACAACAACTATCACCCTCTAGAACTGAATTGGGATCAACTGTGGGCAGCTTTTTTTTTTTTAATCCTGCTGCCTTTTTTTAAAGATTGAATTACAAAATTAAAGGAACAAAAGCAATGCAGCTGCTGGGACAGATTTGAATTTCAGTTAAGCGTTTGATTCCAATATCATGCAAGTTTCGGCAAAAACAAGGAACTATCAGCAGCTGAGAAAGAACATGAGGTGATGTCACTGGAGGAACTGTGAGGAGAAGCAGCACAAGGCAGGGATGGAGGCTGTGCACAAGTTAGGTCCACGTGGAGCAGCTGCTAGGTTCCCACCAGTCCCAGGGGCTGGGATTTCTCCCTCAAAATAACCCCAACACCGCACTGGGCTCTCACAACTGGGTGAACCTTCTCACTGACGAGAAAGAGCCCAGATGAATTCTACCTAACAGTGGGGTTTTCACACAGCAGCTGGTAGCCCTCACTGAAGCAAGCTGGGCTTGAGCATTTCAGGTGGAACTGTCAGAGGTGGCTGGCTTTGTGCTGTTTCTAGGAGTGTTGTTGACAGGATGAGCCCCTCCCCAGTCAAGGACGTACTCTTCAAGGTGGCGGTGGGGGTGAGACTGCAGTCAGTTACACCCACCAGCAGGGCCCCCCCCCCCCGAGTTGAGTACCCAGCCCTCCTGTAGTCAGGTCCCGGGCTCCCCACGTCACATAACTAATTAGCAACAGTCCCAACTGGAACCCAGGTTTCCCACACTCTCATCTAGAGCTCTTTCCACATTCCTTCAGCAGTGTCTAGCAGAGTTCCATGTGTGGAACTGAACATCGCAGCAAAGATCCTGCAATGAAACCTATGAACCCAGAAAGATGAGGCTCTTTAGCCTGCAAGAGGCACTTCCTAAGGGCACAGAAGGGTAAAAAAAGCAAAAGCAAGTTTATACTCATAGGGAAACATAATCTGTGATTATAAATATTTCATGGGCAAAGGAAGCTGTACTGGCTGAGAAACTGGGGTGGAGAGAGTGGACAGCAAATTAGATCCCAGTTTGCAAAGTGATAGGGCAGCTAGAGAAAAAAAAAAGCAAAGCCAAAGCTATTCTGGGCCGTGTGCTGAGAGCCTGCGTCACCAGTGGAGTGTGGCTCTGACCACTGACTTTGTTGAAACCGCAGGCTGCCAGTGGTCAGCACAGAACACCTTGGGAGTCATGGCTAAGCCCACGGAAGATCCAAGGAAGAGACAGCAAGGACAGAGAGGAGACTCACTTGAATGACTTTGGTAAACCTCAGTAGCCAGGAGAGGGTGAGGAGATGCTGCAGTGGGACCAGCACCCAGGGAGCACGTGATCGGAGGAAGACACTTTGTGCTGACTAATGGTCGAGGAAGAAGCAGCCCCAGAAAACAAGTTACCCACAATGGCATATGGCAGCTCAGGTCAAGCAGCACAGGTCAAAACAAAGACCCAGCCCTTGAACAGACGATGCCCGGCTGAGAACAACATTTTGACCTGTCCTTCACCTGGGGACTGACTCTCTTCCTTCCACTGCCTCTAGGAAGCAGCACAGAAAAAAGATGTTAGGAGACTGCTAAGTACCAACTGCTGCAGCTGAGAGAACCTCTGGTAATGCAAGCCCTGGTTTGGGTTTGATTCCTCTTCCTCCTTGGCTACAATCCACCACTGGACCACAGCATGTCAGTCACATAGTCACCTAACCCTTCCAGGGAGCCAGACGGAGAGGGGCATTAGCACTCGAGATACCAAGAGATCCTTGAATGCAGCTGTCAGAGGAGCCCTGGGAAACAGTGCACTGGGAAGATGTAGAGTAAGAGTCCCTTCTACCTTGAAGTCAAGGCTTACAGGGTGACAGGTTCCAAGGCGTGTGCACTGAATCCAGGGAAAATCAGGACTTCAGCTCAAGATGGACATGACTCATCAGCTGCAAAAATAAGACCCAAGTCAGAAAAACAAAAATCCTCACCACTGGACCAATAAACAACATTCTTATCAACGGAGAAAAGATTGAAGTTGTCAAGGACTTCATTCTTCTTGGATCAACTATCAACACTCACGGAAGCAGCAGTCAAGAGATCAGACGACATATTGCATTAGGCAAATTTGCTGCACAGGAACTTTTTAAAGTGTTGCAGAGCAGAGATGTCAGCTTGAGGACTAAGGTGCGTCTGACCCAAGCCATGGTATTTTCCATAACCTCATATGGATGTGAAAGCTGGATAGTGAATAAGGAAGATCGTAGAAGAATTGATGCCTTTGAGTTGTGGTGTTGGAGGAGAATACTGAAAGTGCCATGGACTGCCAAAAGAACCAATAGATCTGTTTTGGAAGAAGTGCAGCCAGAATGCTCCTTGGAGGCCAAGATGGCTAAGCTTCGTCTCTCATACTTTGGACATATTGTCCGGAGAGAACAGTCGCTGGAGAAGGATGTCATGCTGGGTAAGATGGAGGGTCGGAGAAAAAAAGGAAGACCCCCAACAAGATGGATTAGCCAGGTGGCATCATTGATGGCGTCAAGTGTGGCAGCGGTTGGTGGGGTTGGCCCAGGATTGGACATTGTTTCATTCTGCTGTGCATGGGGTCGCTATGAGTCGGTTCTGACTCAATGGCACCTGACAACAACAACATGTTATAGGGAAAGTCCTAGTGTGGCACTGCAGTTAATGTGCTGCACTACAAGGTTGGTTTGACCTGCAAGATCAGTGGTTCAAGCTCACCATCACTCCTTGGAAACCCTATACAGGTTTGCTGAGTCGGAATGGACTCAACGGCCCAGATCAACATGTCATGGGAAGAGCCTGAATTGGAAGTAACAGGCTCTGGTTTTGAGACCAGTTTTACTAACTTACTAGCTGTAGGACCCTGAGAAACCATGTTTCCACTAAAATGCAAGTTACCTTCACCTAAACAATGCCAAGTCATCGAGAAACACCAAGAATGTACATGTGAACGTTGTTGCTGTTTAATAAATGTATACACTCATAATTCCCACCAGGATCTAGAACAGTTCCTGTATCCAGTAAGTTTCCCTCTTGCCGTTTTATAATTGACAGCTACTCCTCTCCATTAAGGAGCTCTGGTAGCGTAGTGGTTACGACTCGGGCTGTGAACCGCAAGGTCAGCAGTTCGAAACTACCAGCTGCTCCGCGGGAGAAAGATGAGGCTTTCTACTCCCGTAAAGATTTACACCCTCGGAAACCCTGTACAGGGTCGCTATGAGTCGGTTCCGACTCCACGGCACATAACAACAATAACAACCTCTCCATTACTCTAACTGCTACCACATCACCTATCCATTATTCAGACTGCATGGCAAGTCTAACCCCTTTATCATAGGCACTTATTATACTTTGGGTTCACATCTGTTTGTGTAATTATGAGATCCGCATCAGTCTCCCTGGGGATCTCCTGCCGGTAGGGCCCATCCTGCTCTCACTCGCCGTCTTCTCAGCTCTGGCACACATGCAATCATGCTGATAGAAAGGAGCTGCTACCTACTGAGTGCTTCTCACTGCCAGTAATCATCATCAAGTAGGTACCACAATTATATCCCCATTTTACAAATGAGGTACAGAGAAGCTTAGTAACTTGTCCAAAGCCAGGATGTAGCAAGTGGTGGAGTCAGGACTCAAGTCCAGCAGCCTGACTTGTCTAGGTTCTTACCCGCTGCACTATTCTGCCTCTCAGAGACCATCTGGATTTAATGAGTAAGTGCTCAAGATTATTTTGAATGAATAAATGAATGAATTTGTAAATGAATTGACATGATTCTATCAAAGGTACTAAGGAAGCCCCAAATTTCCCCAAGGAGACAATTGCAGCATCTACAAAATAGGATGGCCTGTCCATTCCTCTAGCTGTCAGGGGAGGGAGCGCTATGTTAGTGGGCTCACAGGAGGCTTCTGGTCCCCCACTGGAGTGCTCACCAGGTGGAGAACGGATCGCTGGCTGGGTTCTACCGCAGCCTACAGGAAGTGGAAGTCCCTCTGTTCTTATTCCATGAAGACACAGTAATATCCATAACTAATGTCTCAAGTCCCCTGACAGAAGAGGAAGAGGAGGGTACCCTGCATGATGGTTGCCAGTGGGATGGGGGTGGAAGGGAATTCTACAAGTGACAGACTCCAGAGTACATTTATAAATTGGCATTTGGTTTGTATTTCAGCCTTCCAGAGCTTGAGCATCCTGGGTGAAAGCATACTACAGGATCCAAACAAAAAAGCAAGGCCCAGACCATGGCACCACGGCTATTCCAAGCAAAGACAGCCATCTTGTATACTCGTCACAGGCCTGTCAACTTTCAACTGCTTCCGCATCATTTACCTCACCACAACAACCCAGAGAGCTCAAGAGAAAAATACACATGAAAAGGTTTATTTTCTCACAGGACATTGGTACCCCAATGTGAAAGGATTGGCCATCAGCCCCAAGTCCTCTCTCAGTAGAGGTGCAGTTCTCAGAACTGCCTGTGTCTTCCTCACACAAAGTTCTGAGCAATGGCCAGCACTTTGGAATACTCGCCTTCCTTCTGGCGCAGGCTGGTGGGGATGGGTGTCTTAATCCGGGTCCCCACAGGGTTCCCATTATCCTCAATGAGGACCACATTGTTGGAGTCGAACCTGGGGGTCATCCGGGCACCAGGCATGCAATGCCCCACAATGAGAGCCTTCTTCTTCTGTCCCTTGATGGCCAGCAGTATCTGGTCGCCCACCTTGCCCACCCCATTCTTGGTATAGACATGGATGCAGCGAGGAGGGCGGTGGTAAGCGGTGTTTCCCAGGGCACTGTTGTCCACCACACGCACCCGGGTCATCTTCTGAATGGCACTGAGATTTCCAGTGGTGCTGGTAAGAGAGGAAAAGGGACTGAGACCTAGGTCTTTCCTGGGCATCGTGTACAGCCCTCCTAAGAGGGCAGGCCTGGGAGAATGTCCATTCACAACACACACCGTCAGCACAATGCAACCATCAGTGCTTCATCAGGAGCCTTGCCAGAAAGTCAGAGCCTTGTGGATATTTATTGGTATCCGCAGCTGGTTAAGTACTCAGCTGCTAACCAAAAGGTTGGCAGTTCACACCTGCCCAGTAACACTGTGGAAGAAGAGAGGGCTGATAATCTGGCTCCTATGAAGATCACAGCTTAGAAAACCATATCGGGCAGGTCTACTGTGTCATATGGGGTTGCTATGTGTTGAAACGGACTCAGTAGCACCTAACAACAAGATTATCTAGGGCAGTTAATTCTTGGAAGTGAAAACAGAAATAAAAATGACTACTCTTTATTTATCTGTACCCAAAACAGTAGCTTCTGCTGTTCAGCGAAGATCTCAATTTGGATGGATTTAAAGAGAATATGATTTTTCTGTTACAACAAACTCTCTGACAGCCTTAACCTAAAAGCTTCAGTTTCCAAAAGGACATTGAAAACCTACAGGAATCTCTCTTATTCTATGTGTATCCTACAAATCCTGCTCCCCCGGAACATCAAACTTATTCCCGATTTTATTGCATCTATTATGTTTCTGGGAGCCAAAAGATAAGAATAAATACATTTGCTAAGGGAGTCCCTTAATACAACAAAGCAGAAACTGGAAATAAGTCAAAATAACAAATTTTTGTTAGAATTTCTTTTTCACACTCGCAAGGAAGTGTGTTTTAAAGAGTACCTATTAAAAGGCAGATGAACTAGACAGCTATCTGATTCAAGGGGAAGTTTTATATTTCTGCTGCTGGTGCTCCCCAGGCTAACCCCAGTCTTCTTCTCTCATTCTGCATGCTTACTCTGGCTAATCCTATTCTCCCCTATTGCTTCCAACTAGCAAATTCCATCTGCAGCCCCACCTCTCTCCTACATTCTAGTCCTATACTTCCATGTCTTTCAGAGACACTCAGTAAGGTCCCAATGTGCCTTCTCGTCTCCCTTTGCAAGCCTCCTCCTAATTCCAATCTAGACAACGGCTTCTCCTGAAGCCAGAAGCCTCTTTGCACCAACATCCACTGGCTGCCGGCTCACTGACACCACTTCCTAAACACCTCTGTCCTTCCTCTCAGCCTCCACTGGTTCTGAATAGAGCAGCTCACTCTCTCACACCAAGACTGTTACATTCATGTTCTAGCTGGTCCCACTGCACCTCACTCATGCTGGCAAAGTTCTCTTTAGATTATGAAATGGATGCACCCCCTGCTTGGCCTTGCTCAGTGGTTCCCCACTATCCACACTGCCAATAAGCCAGTCTTGCCTCCTGAGGGAGGTCCATCCACTCCTACACTCACACTTTCACCATGTTCTCCCAAAACTGGGAGCTGCAGCAGTCCTAGTACATACACACACACCTCTCAGCCTCCTTGCCCAGAGCCTGCACACACACACGTGCATGACACACCACCACCACCACCACCACACCCCCTACCACCACGTTCTCTTCTGGGAAGACGGCCTCACTCCCTCTCCGCCTCTTCTACTCCCCTCTCCTGTCTCAGGTTTTTCAAAGCGTCATACTAGCCTCAATTTTTACACTCTTCACATTTTCTTATAGTTATTTGTTTTTGAGTCGGTTCCTGGCCAACTGTGAATTTACTCAGAGCAGGAAGCGATTCTGATTCATCTCTGTACCACCAACCCTAGGCACAGTGCTCAATAAAGGCTTATGGAATGAGTGTGCCAACAGGGTCAGGAGGCATGTTTGTCAACTGGAAGATGACCTGTGCTCTCTGTTTCTGACTTAGCCTCTAAAAGAAGGGGAGGTTGTCACACCTCTGTCGTGCTTGAGCTCAGGGAAATTAAGCATGTATTGCCAGGGAAATTTTTTTTAATGATTTTGTTTTTAAAAGAGAGGGTTTTAATACATGAGGGGGGCAGAGGAGGGAGAGAATGACAGGGTTCAGAGATGTCAGATTCACTACAAGAGTCCTGTAAAGACTGAAACGTAGCACCTTCTACCATATCCCACTCGGAGAGCATCATCATCTCCTTCCCTACCCCCACTACTGTGACCTGAACAAACCGCAGCTCAGTCTGATTCCCCAATCTCCTCCTGACTTCACCCATGCCCACTTCCCTGATTTTCCTTTTAGTCACCACAGTCCCTAAGCCCTGGCTCAAAATCCTCAGCTACTACTCAATAATTTATCTTCAAATTGTTTCCAGATGAAGTCTGAAGTGAAGGAGAAAACACAGTACGCTCAGGAGGCTTGTTCTGTGGGAAGTTACCTGAAGCAGCGCTGGCTGAGGGCTCTGCTTACATAGGCGAGGGAGCCCCAGAGCCCTGGGTAGAAAGCCATGGAGAGCCCGAGCTGGCAAATCCTGCAGGAAAAGGGAAGAAAAGGATTTGTTTGTAGGTCAAAGTCAGTGTATTTTCACTCAGAGCCAGTTTTCTTATAAAAGGCTGTTGAGGACTTGTGTGGGAGACGGCACTTCTAGCACAAGATCATTAGTCACTAAATATAAAACTCAATGGTTGAAAGATACACTGATGATTAGACGGCTCAAGAAACAGCAGTTCCAGTTTTGCTGATTCACACTCTACCTCTGGAGTTGGAGAGCTAGAATGGCTCAAAACAACCCTGAAAACCCCTTCATTATTCTATCACCTTCAGAAGGAGGAGGAAAACACGAATGTTCTGGTATACCCCAGCTAGCAACCACTTCCCAAGTTCTCTATGAAAGCAAAACTTCACTGTTGTCCTTGTCAACATTCATGTGCTTTCTGAAACCTGAATTTCAACTCCCTACAAGAAAGCACATTACTTAAACAACTGGTCGAGTTTGCTGCCCAAGCTGTCTGTCAACACATCACCTTTTCCCCAACTGTGAAAGCTGGGACACCTGCGTAGCTTGAAGCTAGCAAAGCAGAGCCAAAAGGCTGCTTTCGCTGAGTCATTGACCAAGATCCACATTTGGCCAGTCTCCCAAACAAAACAAAACATGGAAAAGCCATACACGCCCTATCATAACTGAGAGTGGGCTTTAGGACAGCAACTTCAGGTGAAAAACCCAAAATCAACCCAAGATATGTGACTCCAGCTTGTAGAACCTCAACTCCGTTGCTTCCTAACTAATATGCTAGTCTCCTGTTTAAGGGCATGGTTGAAGAAAACAAACAGCTAGTATTTCCAGCTGCGCAACATGCCTGTTCTTCCATCTAGATGTTTGGCTGCAGAGGTCCTTATTCAAGAGCTCTGCTGGGAAAGTGTCCAAGTCTTGACCACTGCAGTATTTACACATAACTTAGCATTGCACAAGTTCAAAGTACCTTAGATAAAATTTTATTTAATATGGGGGGTGGAGAACCACCACTATTTACTTTCACAGGAGTACTTAGATGCTCCATATACAGATGAGGGGGATTCAAAAAGTTCATGAAAATGTGGAATTAAAAGATAATGGAATCTTCTCCAGAAGTTTGGAAGCCCCTTGTATTTGCTTAATTATAACTTAACCTCAAATCCAAATCTTACACTCTAGTGTTTTCCTTAAGACAACCCATGAAGCTTTGGCCAAAATATAACCATGATCAGAAAATTAAATGCGAAAGAAGATAACTAACTTCAAGAACTACTAATATTGACACTGTAGAATTAAAGATTGCCACATGAGGCCAACTTTCCTTTTGCTAATTAGGTGATTCTGAACAAATAACCTGTGAATTTTGGTTTCCCTATCTGCTGATGTCGCTAGGTACTGTCAAGTCTGTTCCAACTCCTAGCGACCCTATGCACAACAGAACAAATGCACCTTCCTCACCATTGCTGTTTGCAGCCCACTGTTGCAGTCTTGTGTCAATCCATCTCATCGAGGGTTTTCCTCTTTTTTTTAACTGATCCTCTACTTTACAAAGTATGCTGTCCTTGCCCAGGGACTGGTTCCTCCTGACAACATGTCCAAAATACGTGAGCTGAACTGTCGCCATCCTTGCTTCTACAGGGTATTCTAGCTGTACTTCTTCCAAGACATTTGTGTGTTCTTCTGGCAGTCCCATGGTTCATTTCAATATTCTTTGCCAACACCATAATTTAAATGCATCAATTCTTCTTCAGTCTACCTTATTCATTGTTCAGCTTTCACATGCATATGAAGCAAGTGAAAATACCATGGCTTGAATAAAGTACACCTTATTCCTCAAAGTCTTTTAACACTTTAAAGAGGTCTTTTGCAACAGAGAGCGTCCGGGTAGTGCAGTAGTTAAGTGCTCAGCCGCTAACCTGATAGGTCAATGGTTTGATCTCACCAACTTCTCCTCAGCAGAAAGATGAAACAACCTACCCCCATAAACATTTACAACTTTGGAAACCCTATGGGGCAGTTCTACTCCGTCCTTATGAGTAGATTCAATACAACAGCAATAGGTTTGGTTTTGCAATACGTTTGTCCAACACAAAATGCTATATGATTGTTTGACTTGCTTCTATTCATGAGTGTTTACAGTGGATTCAAGAAAAATGAAATCTTTGATAACTTCAATCTTTTCTCCATCTATCATGATGATATTTATTGGTCCAGTGGTTAGGATTTTCTTTTGCTTTACATTGAGGTGAAATCCAAACTGAAAGCTGTGTTCTTGGCTCTTCATCAGTAAGTTCTTCAAGTCATCTTAGATTCCTGTAAACAAGGCTGTATGACCCATATACTGCAGGTTGTTAATGAGTCTTCCTCCAATCCTGATACCATGTTCTTCTTCATATAATCTATCTTCTCAGATTATTTGCTCAGCACACAGACTGAATAAGTACGGTGAAAGGATATACCCCTGATGCACACCTTTTCTGATATTAAACCATTCATTACTTCCTTGTCCTGTTAGAATGACTGCCTCTTGGTCTATGAACAAGTTCCACATGAATACAATGAAGTGTTCTGGAATTCCCATTCTTCACAATGCTATCCATAATTTATTATAATCTACCCAGACTGTAATGCAGGGTGTGTCTTGAGTCAATCTCAAAGACAGACATTAATGGCAAGTTAGAAGCAGAGATGGGGTAAGATCGATACCAGGACATACAGAGACCTTCAAGAAGCTAGGAAGCAAATGCTAAGCGTTAAGGGCCTTCCTCCAGAGTTGACAGAAGGGATCATCCTAATAGAGTCAGTGCCCTGAATTTAACCTTCTAGCCTCCTACACTACACAAGAAAATAAGTTTGTTTGTTAAAGCTGTGCACTTCTGGCATTTCTGTCATAGCCGCATTAGATAATTAAGAGTGACAATGCTGAAATTTGAACCTCACTGGTCAAACCCATGCTCTTAATCAATAGAGTAATTCCGGTGATTTTAACTTATATATTGGTGTTTGTTTTTTCCAATTGTTAAGTTATTCTTCACCCATCAAGCACACTCTGATGTCACAGATACACTACTCATAGTCAACTCAGTGCTCTGAAATGCAGAGAAATATCAGGTGAAGATCATTCACTTTGATCAAATTTGAGTTTCGAAGACAAATTGTAAGTGTATGTGGAAAAAGTGCTCCACATTTTGAGCAATAAATAAAAATTGGCTTTAAAAAATAAAATAGAAGAACGAACAAGATGGCAGACCAGGTAGACATGCAGTGAGGAGCTCCGTCAGCAACAACACAGAAAACCGGACAAAGCAGGCTCAGGGATGGTGCCAGAACTCTGAACCTCATATAATGGAATATTTAGAAGGTTGGAAGGTTTACAGCTAGGGGAATTTGTAGCAGAAGCAAGAAATCCATTGCTTTCTAATTCAAGACGCTCAGCTGTTCCCGGAGCCACCATCTTGGGAGAGAGTAAGCAGGGGGAAGGATCAGAGCAGCCATGGACACCTGACAGAACTGGGGAGATAAAAGTTTGGACACTCTTTTTTTTTTTTTTTTTTTATCTGTTCATTGGTCTCTCTCTGTCTGCACACCTCCATTCTGGTGACTAGAGGGGGGTGCCTGAGTGAGTGGACATCCCACCCCCACTCCCGGATGATTCTATTACGCATGCGCATAGATCTCCTTGAAATTTAAACTGAGAGTTTCCACTTAAAAGCAAACAGCAGTGAAAAATGGCCACAGCTGGCACTGAACTGTTTATTACTAGAAAAAGGCCTGAACAGGGATTGTGGAGTGGGACAGGCAGCCTAAAAAGGAAATAGGCCGAAAATTATATCCTGAGTTCTGTCACAATGACCAAACAGTGGCATCGTGAAATTTCTCAGGAAGAAGAGTGAAAAGGGAAGCCCATTTCCTGATTACATCTACCTGGAGGCAATCAGAAAGCATCAAAAAATACCAAAATAAACACCCATCTAAGTATTAAGGCCACAGATAACTCCTGAATATGCCCAAAAAACGGAAATAGATGACCATATTAGCACATGTCCAGAAACGAGATAAAGTGACTTAGGCAAATGAGCTGGAAGTAGACATACACTCCATACTGGATGATGGACAGGCTTTGGAAATGCCTGAGAAGGAATTCAGAAAAATGATTATAAAATGTATCAAAACACTATATATCAAAGTGAACACTGAGTGGCTACTAATTTGCTACCCCTGCTAGAGAGTAAGATCCCCTAAGAACTTGATTGAACCTCAGCATAGTGATCCTGCTTGGTCACCTTAGAGCAGGTGGTGGGCCAGCAACGTCTGGCGCATGGGGTCCCCAGCTGATCTCCTCCCTCCCTGCCTTCCTCGGATGGCGGCTGTTTATGCTGGACGTGTGGCCAGAGACGGGTAAGGATCACGTGGAACCTCGGCTACTTAAGACAAAGCCATTGCCATGCTGCAATGAGTCTCAATGACTGGTAAGACTGAGGAATTCGCACTGACCACCTAAGACAGGCAGCGTCCATTAAACAATCAATAAATAAGGAGGATTCAGATGCAGACAGTGCAGACCCGGTCAGGAGGCCAAGCCCCTGTGGGCCCAAGCGTTGTTGACCGTCCAAACCATAGGCTCTGAGGATCAAACTCTAGCTACCTAGTAGACATAACAAACTGTCCCTCATCTGATTATTCAGTAATGCTTGTTAGTAATCTCATACATGAGCCCTGGATATCCACAGACAAATGTAAAAACCTTCCCTAAAAGCCGAGACTGTAAATTCCAAAAACACTGTTAACTGATGATATATGGAGGGGATAATAATCAATGTAATGAAACAAGCTATATGAATGGTTGAATGTGAAGCTGATGATGTGCCCTGTAAATTTTCACTCAATGCAAAATAAAAACATTTAATTTAAAAAAATAAAATAAAACACTATATAACGGAGTTGAGAAAAATGAGGAAGAAGTCAGGGAAACACTACAGGAACAAGCAAATAAGATAGA